AACAGAGGAACGCGTGGCTCGCGGTACAGGCTGCGCCGCCTGGAAGTGAGCCTAGGAGCGAGGGTGTGTGGCCTACTCAGACGTGTTCACGCCCCTCCCTCTGCGCTCCCCAAGCTTCAGCAGTGCGCCTCTTAGTGCGCTGAAAGCTATCACCGCTATCTTTGCTGGCTCAGCGCGTGCGGTGCAAAGAAGGTCGCCGCTCTCGCCGAGCAGGCAAAGATAGCGGTGACAGCAGTGACAATTTTCAGCGCACTGAGAGGCGCACTGCCGAAGCTGGGGGAGCGCTAATCGAGGGGCGTGAACACATCGAAGTAGGCCACGCACCCTCGCCCCTAAGTTTACTTCCAGGCGGCGCAGTCTGTACCGCGAGCCACGCGCTCCTCTGTTCGCATTTCATTTTTCCCCGATAGTACATACGTAACTATGTCGTGCCCGGTTTTACACTGTCAGCGAAAGATATAAAAGTTTATTGGCCGGTTATTATGTTGAGTGGCTCTGGCGAATCCGCGGAACTACATCCATGTACGCGGAGCACTCGGTGTTCCCAAGTTGGCAGTGCATTATTTTGATGGTGAGCTTTATATGTTTAGAGATAATAAATTTGAAATCGACGAGAGAACTATTAAATGCACATACGAAATCGAAGCGCGTTTGGGCTCGATCCAACAACCCGAGGTTAAATTTGATAAAAGTAGCACGAACGCGGTTTTGCTTCAAGAAATGGACTGAACAGCCTCGGGTAGTTCGAAACATGTGTCCTTTATTAGCTGCATGAAGTTCCGGGATTGAATGAGTGTGAAAATCAAAAAAGAAGAAGTTCGATCGGTGGCACGTACGTTTCGTAGGCTGGGCCGACTGTCGTCTAAACGCCATTCGACTCTACCAGAGAGCAAATGTTTCTAGCAACACACCGTTGGATCTCTGTGATTTCCTTTAATCCTCAAATTCCAAACTCTAAATATACGTACGTGCTCTCTTGCCTTCATATTTTAAGCCTGTTCAGCCCATTCCAGAAGTGCCCAACCGCTCTCGGAGAGAGCACAAAACGACCTTGCGGACAACAGTTACATTGGCCACTGCACGATAGGAGCTATGGTTCAGACCAGCGTTCCGTCATTACTATCCGCAGGTCAATTCATTGCACCCTAATCGCCCAAGCCGTCTTCCAAAACTCTTTACTGTAAAGACGAATGTCAACCTGCGACCGTGAACATCATCACATTTCGCGGTTACAGTGCTGGAACGCGAAAGAGATTGACGACAATTCCATACTTTCTTCACAACGCACAACACTGTCGTAGCGATGTTTGTGACTTCCAGACATACAAAACCAAGTTGGTTGTCGGATGGCACACAATAAAAGGAAACAGGCCCAAGCCTAGCGCACAAGGCGCGGAGGGACCCGGCAAGAAAACCCGCCCGACTTGCACGCAAAGTTGGCAAAGGTACGGAGTCGGCCGTCTTAGCCCAGGGGACGTACTACGTAGCACTGCCGGCACTGCTCTGGAATTGGGCTCTTCGAATCGTTTGTCTGCTCTTTTGACAAAATTAGCGCTTAAATGCGCCAATGGAACCAAGGTGCGTGTGAAACTGAGAGGCTAAATTAGAGGCAACGAAAGTTTCGTTGCCTCTGACGCTCACTAAGCTCAATGGCGTTTATTAAACATCGTGTGCGACGTTCCTTGAAAATGTAACGGAGAGGAGGCGGGAGTACGGACCGTTCCTTACCTCTACGTGAGAAGGAGAGAAGACGTTTCGTTCCCGCCTTCTCGTGTCCGCCCGTGGGCGCGGATGTAGAAGGGACGAAAACGCGCCTTTGCTACCTTTTCATGTTTTTATTGTTTTTCTCATGGAGAATTTTACAGGTCGTTTTGGAGTGCGTCGAAACCGACTTTTTTTGAAGCACGTGTATTCCACTGGGCGATCGATATCGAGACGGACGTGTTACAATTGTCATTTTGGATCAGCTCCAAGCCCACATCTCGAACCTATTCCGAGAAAAGTCGCTCCGCTAATTTCGGAGGATTCGACCGGAAGCCAGTCTAGGCTGCCCTCGGCACGCACACGTGACTTGATTTCTCGACAGGCATCTCGCCGGGACCGCGGGAAGAGGATTCCCGGGGAGGTGAATGACGGCAAGGCACGAAACGATTCCAAAGGAGTGCTTATGTTCCACTTGGGATCTGGAGCAGGAAGCCGAGATAAAGATCAGAGGGTAAAAAGTGTCTACCTCGTGTCGAAGAGATTGACGACAGGACGCAAATGTAATGTGTCCCTCAATGGCTCCGTGTGGGAGTATGGTCGGACGAGGCAGTCATTGTTTGCCTGATTTCTCATGGTACTGATCCCAACAGCATGACTTTGCATAGACAGCAAACTTCCCATATACGTCAATAGTGCTTTGAAGGCGTCATTTGAGCAGGCATACTTTACTTAATAAGGCCAGCAGACGAGCAGACGGAGTCCGGTAAGGCAGAATGGCTGTGACTCGAGCGTCTCACGCAGAGTATCGCGTCGATAGTGGTAATCAAATCGTTTTCAGTCCGTTTCACCAAAACAGACCCCGAACAAACGCCAGTCCAACGGCCACATCCAAGACCGGTTCTAGGGGTAACCGACCTTGGTGGTCGCCCAAGGCGAAATCAGAAGGGGAGCACCGCGGAGACCCCTTTGGAATTTGTTTTGATCTCCGATTTCTTTGAACACGGCGCCCGACACGACGCTACACGCTCGGTCGCCGTTCATTTTTTTGGAATACGGCTCTCGTCTAAGAAAATGCTTGTGTTTGGCCCACTTGTTTACTAAGAACGTGATGTCGTACGTACCTAGAAGATAGGGGCGCATAAAAAAAAAGGAAGAGGCGCCGGAGATCGCCCAGGGCGCTCGATGGTATAGGCCCTGCGCACAGCATCGTGATTTCTCCACCCAACTTGTCAAGGGCGAACAGCAAGCGAACCAAGCCGTGGGCGCCGACAAGGCTACCTCCGGTCTCAACGGGACTTGGTCTACCCGATCGATCAAACGGAGACATTGAACACTCGACGGCAGTACGACAGTTGAATACTCACGTCGTCATATAGAAACTACGCGCACAAAAGCGGATACCGGCGTAAACGTGCGTCGAGAGAGACGTAACCCGGGAAGGTAAAGAGCAGAATAATCTGTCCGAGTGGCAGGAAGCACGCGCGTTCGGCAACGCCGTCTTCGTAGACGGCGGTTATTCTTGAAGCACGCTATGAGCCCGTGATAAGCTCTTCTCGAAAAACCGTTGTGGCGCGGGAAGGAAGCGCCCTCCGTGATTGCCCGCGCCCCCGATACAAGTGCCGGAAAAGTTGAAAACTTTAAACTTAAAAAAAAAAAAAAAAACAAGACAGGAAAACACAAAATATAGCGGTGACGTCCGAAGCGGGAATCTTTCCGTGTTCGGGCGCACGTAGGCGTTGTTACGTAAGTATCGGCTTGGCACGCTCTTCGCTCTTATGACCTCGGCCAAGCTCCAGAGCAATCGCACAAAACCCGTGTCTTGGCAGGTCGCCCAGAGGTATTAAGAATGAACAAAATCGGTTGCCGAACGCAGCGCATGCGAACGCGTGGAATAGGTCGTTAGCCTACTAAGCACGTGGCGAAAGTCTACTTGAGACGTTCCATTTATTTCGGGCGACAGGCTGACAATTTACGGCGCTAGGCTTTCCACCTGAGGCTGGGGCTATCTAAATTGAATCGGATGAAAAGTGAATTATCCGAAGCAATGAGTTGTATCTCGGAACCACTTTGAAAAAAAAAAAAGACGCTTATGACACGAAGACATTATCTGTAACTCCATAGAAACAGCGATGCCCACTGCTCAATTCGGGTGCAGGCGACGCTCGCTTCACACAGCGCACACGCGGACATAAAAGCGGAGCGTGTGGAAGGTTGAGTTTACGCGAGTGTTTTGCATAAACTCGAAGAAATTGTTTAGAGTGCTTACGGGAAACAATGGGCACAGCTGTGTACATTGACATATTCGTGTTGCCATTTAAAATCGATACTTCCGTTTCCTTGGTTTTTGCGCCCAAATATATGAACACGCTCAGTCTCGTCCTTACTTTAGTCAGTGAAAATGATTGAGACTCAATTATATTTGCGTTGCTTAGTTACTCCAAAACAATTCAATCGCCTTTGTCAAATTCTTTTCGCGATAGATCTATTTACCGGAAAAGATATTCCGTGGACTACTTTATTTTATCTGAGCTTTAAAAATGAATCGATTATGCATTATATCTTCACTAACATTGTAATTTAAATATTGCTCAAAATAGTTTCTCCTATTTTCGGCCTGAACAAAGTATTTAAAGTTTTTATCAATCAGTGTAGTTCGTTTCTTGATATCGAAAGTAACATTTTTTTTAATGATTTAGGGGAAAGTTCTTTTCACCCAAACGATAGCGAGTAGCAAGTCTTAGTCACTTCTCGTTATGTGTTAATGTCCTTTGATTTGGAACTGAAGTTCAAGGTTAGAAGACGTTTTTACTTGAAATGCTGCGAAACACGAAAAGCGTCGGAAACTTTCTTTTGTATTTATTAATTTATTTAGTATGCCTCAAATGCCCAAAAATGGGGGGTCTACATATAGAAAAATGACTGGTTCAATGGCTGTCATATAATTTGCAGGGCTAGAGAGGGGTACGGCGGCGGTGGGCATAATATTCCAGCGCTTAGCTGCCTCCGAACACCAACAGAGATGGGTAGTATTTGGGGGCACATGTTGGATAAAAGGTTCGCTCATGAGAGATGAGACGGTAAACACAATGAGCTGGCATGATGGCAAAGTTAAGGCTTAAGACAATTTGCATAAATGACTGTGTCTGGACATTTTGCATGGTAACTAATTGTTCAGTAGATTAGCCTAGTAGTCGGAGTAGAAAAACGTTGTTGAACGATATGCGCAAATATGCCAGATAGATAATCAAGTAAAAATGATCTCCTGAGTACATATGTCATTTTTTGTTTTATTCCAGTAATCGACGCCACTGCCAAGTATCCTACCGGGCTCTTCCAAGGAACATGGGCGGATATCGGTGCCTACGACGAGTGTATCGAAACCATTGTAAAAGATGAATATGGTAACGAAAAAATTAGAGGACAGTATTGCAACGTCTACGTAAGGATGATGAACGACACCTCATTTATCGATGCCATGCTGCCAGCGTTTCTCATGTCTCATGAACGGGTAAGTACTTCGAGGTTCACGCTAAATTCGTGTTATTCCAATTCATTCGTGTTCAGTCTAATTGTTTCAAGCTGCTCAAAACAAAATAGATACACCATCATTTACGGCATCTGATTGAAACCACCTTAGTCCAGTCAAGTAGCCCTGGAGTTTAGAAAAAAGATTATTAGCGGTAGAGAAATAAATATATATTTAAATCTTACGCATACTCCAAGCCCTTAAACGCACTTTGCACATAAATTTCCAGTTGGGATAAACTTGAAATGGAAACGCAAGTAAAAAGGTTGTGTACATGGATCTATATGTTGAGTTTTGAAGCACATCGTTGTGTTCATGATATGTTCCGCAAACAACCAATCGTGATGCTGAATGAAAATAATATCCATTCATTCGAACACTTATCACCACTTTATTATTAATTCTTTTCTGGAGAATCCTAGTATCTTCTTCCAGGTTCAGTTTCTATTTGATCTTAAAAAAAAACCTATAATAAATGCCACTAAAGGCCCGTTCACACACTTTCGACCTCTTGGACCAAGTGCCTTAAAACTATGGTGCCTGGAACGCGTCTCCGACTGGTGTGTTTACCGCGGCCAAAAAAGTGGTCCCTCGATTCACGCCTGATGACGTCATACAAGTGTCATGCTGTCGCCGGTTGTGATCCTGGCGGCGCCCTAACAGTTGTGGTGTATATGGCATACGCCTGTTCTGCTGTAGGTCGCTCTCCCGCTCTCCACTGTGACAATCCACGGATGCTACAGCAGCTGGAAGTTGGGACACTTGGGACGCTGTGACAACATTGACACTCGCGTTCGCTCGTGCTTTTCGCCAGCATTTCTACGAAATGCTGGGGAGGTTCAAGAGGTTTCAACAGGTCTCGTCTCTCTCGATCGTACTTGGTTGCAAGTGTAAAAACGGGCCTTAAGGTCAGTGACAAAAAGGACAAAAGGAACGTTCCGCAGATAGTGGAGCCGACATACAAATGTGCGTGTTCACATTATTCTATAGAAATAAAACTGAGCCATACGGTGTATAATGTGATCGAAAGTGGTCCTTTGTGAACCACGCTGTGCTATATTTTTTATCCACTACCCTGTTTGAATAAAACAAAACAAAAAAACGCCCCAATGTCTTGCTCGCGCTGTCCCATCAGTACTCAAAACTCAAGCTGAAGATGTTAAACTTATACAGACGCATAGGTACACTCCATTATTTTACTTCTACTCAGACTCCCGAGATTCTGAATATTCAGAAGGACGAAAGGGTTCCGGGAATCCGACTGGGAATCTGCTTCATTTCGGACTGCGACAAAAAAGATATGCAAGCTCTCGCAAACACGTGTAAGTTGTTGACACAAATATTTTTTCTCGCTCCTTCTTTTCTTAATTCTGTAAACCGAAAAGAGCAAGATTCCAGTGTCGATGGAACAAAATGTGACTTCTCCTGCATTGTTGACCAATTAAAAAATCATTACTCAATCACATTTTTAATTCCAATATTATTTATTTTGAGAGTGGTCGTTTATCTATTTTAAAAATGTATCCGCGTCTACTTTATCACAGACAACTCAAAAAGGCTATTGGGGAGTTCCGGGGATTAAAAGAAAGCTCCTTGAACGTCTGACGCGTGCCTTGTTCTGCTGAAGCACGTTTTAGCAACGAGAAAGTCAGAATATCAAACTAAATTATTACCACTTCACACGCAACCTGCAGGTAACTGCAAACTTGAGTGTTTATTCTTAGCGATCTTGTCTGTGAAGCAGGAACCTAAATATCTGCAACCACAAAGGCCCTTCCGCAAACATTCAAGGCGACTTACTTTATGTGCAGTCTTGGTAATCAACGAGGGGCCATTTTGTGAATTCCCCCTTTATTAATTGTTAATCTAACATTTTATTACTTGAATATTTTTTAGTTCAGCTAAAAATACTAAGTAAATACAAAGTCGCATCTTTTATAGGACGGAAACGGTATGTCTAATCTGTCCAGATGCTAAGTGAAAGTGTAAACATTTCCTAGAGCAGTCAAAGCATAAGGGTCATACATTTTTTTACGAGAAAATGAATATGAAAACAAAACAAAGGAGCAATGGTGTCGTATTGTTTAACTTGACGTTCTAAATACCGGAAGGACCTTAGAAGAGAAAGTCGTGTTGATCGTCCTCCTAATTAAACTATGCACCGCAAAATGTTCAGAATCCATGTGGATGTGATATGCCAGTGGCTGGTATAAAACGCGAAAGCTTGAGTACATGACTTTACCGGGATAAAAAAAAATATATTAAAGAGAGACGAAAGTACTCAATGAGCCGACGTCGACCTAAGCCTTAATTTGTCAAAACAAGAACTGACATGTTGGATATACCAGTGAAAATCAGTTTTTAGAAAGAAATACAATATTGCTCCCTTTCTTTGTGACAAGATGTATTCTTCAAATTAAATGGATGCTACAGGCGCCCAGAATGTCATTTCTTGTTTTCACTGGGCTCAGGTGGACGTCGGCTTATATAAACATTTTGACGACCGCAATTATTATTTGATGCAGGTAAATTAATAGTCTAAAATTTCCGCTTTATACCCAACCACTAGCCTGACATTCTCGTGGTGTTTTCTACATCTGTGATGCTCAGTTTACTGACCCGAGCCGAAAAACATGTTTTTCTTTCTCCAGAGAACGCCCTGTAGTTTTTGTTAAAGATGGTCACGAATATATAATGCATTTTAATTACGCAAATATTGTATTAAACTTTTAGAATAATCTTATGAAGATATTATTCGGAGAAGGAAAAAATGAAAGCCGCTTACAACTCCCTGTAACGCCGAATTAGAGCGCAGCTCTTGAGGACGAGGAGGGAAGGGCACGGGGGGGGGGGTAAACTAACCAGGGGGGGGGGTCACGTGACCTTGGGGGTCACGTGACCCCCAATGCCGATGATGTCATCACTGACGTCACTGATGACGTCATCCGTGACGATGACGATGCGGGTACCGATGACGTCATTAGTGACGTCACTGATGGCTTCACCAGTGATGATGACGATGACGATGCGAATGTCGGTGACGTCATCAGTGACGTCGCTGATGACGTCATCAGTGATGATGACGATGACGATGCGGATGCCGGTGACGACATCAGTGACGTCACTGATGACGTCATCAGTGATGATGACGATGACGATGCGGATGCCGGTGACGTCGTCAGTGATGATGACGATGACGATGTGGATGCCGGTGACGTCATCAGTGATGATGACGATGACAATGTGGATGCCGGTGACGTCATCAGTGATGATGACGATGACGATGTGGATGCCGGTGACATCAGTGATGATGACGATGACGATGGGGATGCCGGTGACGTCATCAGTGATGATGACGATGACGATGCGGATGCCGGTGACGTCATCAGTGATGATGACGATGACGATGCGGATGCCGGTGACGTCATCAGTGATGATGACGATGACGATGTGGATGCCGGTGACGTCATCAGTGATGAGGACGATGACGATGGGGATGCCGGTGACGTCATCAGTGATGATGACGATGACGATGTGGATGCCGGTGACGTCATCAGTAATGATGACGATGACGATGCGGATGCCGGTGACGTCATCAGTGATGATGACGATGACGATGTGGATGCCGGTGACGTCATCAGTGATGATGACGATGACGATGTGGATGCTGGTGACGTCATCAGTGATGATGACGATGACGATGTGGATGCCGGTGACGTCATCAGTGACGATGACGTCATCGGGGGTCACGCGACATCGGCGGGGGTCACGTGACCTCGGGGGGTCACGTGACCTCGAGGAGGGGGTCACGTGACCTTGAGGAGGGGGTCACGTGACCTCAGGGGAGTCACGTGACCTCGGGGGGTCACGTGACCCCCCACGAGGTCACGTGACCCCGGTGGGGGGGCTCGCGCGGTGCATTATGGGACATTTCCCATGATGCACCGCGCGGTTACGCCGACGGCGACGGCGACGGCGACGGCGACGGCGACGGCGACACCGCTCAAGCCGGAGACGGGCCCCTAAGAGCTGCGCTCTAAAAGTTACTTGGCAAAGTTCATGTAACGTTACACTAATGCCAATACAAAAATGTATCTAGGAGCGACGAAAATCGAGTCCATTCAAAAGCGAAGTATAAAAACAGGGAGAAATGCAAACACAAAAAATATATTTGTGAATGTTTTGTTGAATAGTTAGAATAAACTGAACCAACAAACAAAATGCTTGATGCTAGAACTCTATAACAAACCAATCTACAAATAGTGTTTTTATGTATTACAGGCTACAATTTAAACAGCCGTCAACTTTTTAGCATAAAACAGAGTAAACCTTGCAGTAAGGTTTGCTCTGTCTTATGTCTGTCTAACATTCTCTGCATAGGTCTAGCAGAGTGACTGTAGGTTACTGTGGTATGCTGAAAAAACACCACACAAGGCGACCACTCTCTGTGTGGTTTGCAATTTGGAGTCTGTTCAAAGTCTAACAAAGAAATATTATATTTTTTTTTGCATTGATCAGATAACAGATACCACGATGTCCCTTACGTTGACGAGTCAAATCTTTTTTTTTTTTTTTGACCTCTTTCATTTTGCTGTATGACGCTTTAACTGACTCGCTGTAGAACATATAGTCATTCTGTAAAGTAATAGGAAGATCCACGTGACTGAGGAGCGCCTGACAGGATAAGAGCATTCTCTAACATATGTCTCATTCGTCAAAACAAGCATCATGAGCTATTTTGTCTGCAGAAACGCCGCACGTCATTAAGAGTCGACAGACATATGTCACTAAGAACGATTCAGCTATCTTCGGCGTCACTGTGATGTATGGCTGCATAAACTCCAGTATTTTTCACGACACTCAGGCGTTCGGCGCTCCGCGGCCTTTTGTGAGTATTAACAACTTCAGCCTCACCATTTACGTATTTACCGTGGCCTGCCTCTGCTAATCATCGCAGTTCAGAAAGCGCGTTTTATATTTATCCTAATATCCTAAGAATTCGGTGCAGTAGCAGTCCCACCTGACAAAAACGAAACACACAGCTAGCGAAAGGTAAGAGGTCAAAAAACAAGGCTTGCCTCGTCAACCTAAGAGACATCGCAATATCTGCTATCTGATCGATCCCAAAAATAAATATATTATTTCCTTGATAGTCTTGGCACAGACCACAACATTGCAAAATACACAGACAGCGGTCGCCTTGTTTGGTGCTTTTTTCAACTTACCATAACTAAATACAGTCATTCTGATAGACCTATGGCGTGAATGTTTACTATCCACGGAATACATACGCCCGTTCGGTTAACGAGCTGGACGCTTTGCCATCGGCCAAATATCGACCAGTAAGAACTAACCACCATGTTTAGTTTTATTGTTGCTGTTGTTGTTTTGTTTTGTTTTTCAGTGATTACCGGCCCCACGAAAATAACTGTGAAGAACTGCGTAACCGGCGAACCTGTTCTCTGGACGACTGCCCAGCTGGTGATAGCGTAAGACTTGCTGTATTTCTGTTTCTAGCCTCAGAAAAGAAAACAAAATGACGGGCTCCAACATTTGATAAAATGTACAGAAAGTTGACATCCGTACGAAAACTGTGCCCATAGGATTTCTGCATAAAATTTGCCTAACGCGGACCCGATCAACAGTGGCGATTGATTGACGAAAGCGGGTGGAGTTGAAAACGTCACAAAAAGAGCACAATTACGATGAATAGTAAAATACTGGACGGCGAATTCTGCGAATCAGAAAGAAATCACGACAATCAAGATGCCAAATTTTAAAGTTATTTTTATAAAGATACTTTAAAGAAACACTAATGCGCTCTGAGCAGGTGCGTTATATTGCTAGGGGGACAATATGGAGCTTGCTAATCGTCAGGATAAGTCAAATCATTAATTAAAATGTTTTTCTTTAACTTTTAATTTGTGTAACTAAATGTATGGTTTCAATTAGAAATTATCAGAGCTCGCTGTGGATAAACAAGGATGAAAATATTATCATCTGCGTTTTCTCCGTGCCGGACTTCTGTCTCTTACACGAGTGGTAACTTCAGTGCGCCCTCGCGCTTCCCACGTGCTTCGGGCTCTCCTAAAATGAGCCGAATGGGTTGCTTCAGATGACGCTCAGGAGGTTTTTAATTGAACTCATCTGGGCTTAGATTGGTTGACTAAAAGTGAATATACATAGTTCAGTAATTATTTGACTGACAGTGAAGGTGATCCTCTTGTATTATGATCCGCATGCCGTAGAACTCACCTGCAGAGATTTCATTTAAGGTTTTCTTTTTTCTAAGAAATATGTTAAAATGAAAATTAAAAAAAACTCGTTTTTCTCTAAAACAATCGTAATTGTATCTACAGACAAAAGGGCTTATTGAAAAGCTTCAATTTTTGTCATCTATACATTCTATTTGCACACTCTAGTTTTTTCGCTGCATAATATTGCATACTGGTGTAGGCTCTATAAACAATTTACTGTGGTCACTTCCCCACTGAGCACTCGCATTACCGAGTATATAGAAGACGAGCCTAACACAGCTCAGAAATACGCAGAGTGAGGCGAACTATTGCTGGGAACGTACCGGAACAAAAACTACAATATTACCATACATACCTTGTTATGGTCTGGTCTGCAGGCTGAACAGACAAGAACATTATCCTTGTCGAAATGTATTACAAGAGTTGTGTTGCAGTTTTGGAAAACGTTAGCTCTCTTAGCTCGTAGTTTTTAATATGACATCAAAATAATCTTCGGCAAAATAATGGTTATTATAATCGATCAAAGAGGTAATCAATAACCAATCACGAGCACCATCATCTCAAAGCGCTGTCGAAGAGAAATTGATCTTTAGATGTAGGTAGGTAGCATACATACATACATAAAAAGATTATTGCAGAATGAACAAGTACATGGATCGTCAAGACCCGCAAAAGCACGTGTGTTTGTAGACGGGACTCTGTTGTAATGGATATGATGTTGTTATTCTTACACAAAACAAAGTACCATGCCGGTACTTTAGGCGTAGAAAAAAAGAAAAAAAAAGTCTCATTTAGTTTTCCGGTACTTCAAAGACCACACGCAATTTTTTGTGGGTTTTGAATTTTGACTCTCGAGTGCACTCGGCGAAAAGATAGGCCTTGGCGGCGCGTCTTCTTTATGCCACTTTTAAGCAATGCTTCGCCGGCCGAATAGCGCTGGGATTAAGACAATGCCTCCTGCTCGAGTTTTCGCTTTTCTCTGCCCCTTCTTTGGTTTGAAGAGAAAGGAAAAACGTGACCCCACTCTGCATTGAATCAGGTGCGACAATGTGGTGTAACATATCAGAATCAGCGTAGGACTTGAGGAATATTTGTTAATGTCGCATCATATCATCGATAGAATCATCGGGAAGGTTTTATAAATTATCTCCCCATGAATTTTAGTTTCATTTTTGTAAAGATTGGGACTATGCTGTAGATGTATCATCGGTTTTTAGGAAAGAAAAATGAGGAACGTTTACTGAATATGCATATAAATGGTGCAAAGCCATACCTGGTACTTAATTCTTTGTGACATTTCACTTGATTAACAGCTTAACAATGTCCATGTTTTTTTTTTGTTTTTTTTTCGGAAATGCGTATGAAAGAATTGTCAATTTCTTCGGAGTTTAAAGTTGCGCAAATATGCAACCCCATATTCTAAAGTGTTCATATGAAAGCTTTCAAAAATCCCTAAATATATGATGTTCTAGATAAAAAGAAACACTTTGCGGGAACAAACCAACAGTCTTGGCGGACGTCAAGTATTGTAAAAGCGCACTAATTCGCAAAAAGACTAACCAACATTTTTGAATTATTTTTAATTAATGAAAATGAACGCATGCTTCACTGAGAAACTTGCCAAGCATCATCGAAAACCATTAAATCAACTCTTTTTAGAAATATGTAAGGCAGGGGCAGTTCTGTCCAGTAAATGTTAAATGTCCAGTAGGTGTTGACCTTGCAGTCAACACCTACTGGACATTTAGCTATGCATGTGCGAGATTGCTCCTGCACACCTTTGCTTTCAAACACAAAAGTGATCAGACGTTTTAAAGACAAGAGGAACAGGGAAATCTTTGAAGCAGAAACCGTACAAGCCAATGGAGAAAAATGTGTCTCCGCACCATCTTTGGCGTTGACAGACAAAGAGGTTCAGTACTTGAACCACTATACATAATCACGTTTGCACGTGAGCGCGTGAGGTGGTGCACCGGGTGGGTCTTCGCGCTCGCGCCGGTATAGCTTTGGCTGTGGGGCCTGTTGGATGTAAAAAGGTAAATAAGCTGTACGAGGCACTGATCGGCGGCCTTTGGACGATCACTTATTAATTTTCTATTCATTTTTTGTCCATTTTTTTATTTTTTATTCTCATTTTGTCTCCCCCGGTCCAGGGGATATTTTCTAAGCCTTCAGAATAGTATCGTATAGAGTTCAACATATTTACCTTTGTTTAATTTCTACTAATTTCGTTTTGGTCTACTGTGTTTTAGTCTTTCTAGTCTAACAATATTCTTAGAGCGCCCGGTTAGAAAAAGACCTATTCTTTTTTCAACTCCAAACACTTCCTTCACCTTCTTCTTTAACGCTGTATATAAAACCGTCAGTTGTGAGTTAGCGCCGGTCCTGTCCACTTCTTCGTCTGTCCTCGTCCTAGCGCTATTTGTAATTTTGTGGCAGTTCTTTTACGGCGTTTCCGTAAAAACGCTCAGTTTGGACGGGTTTCTCGGTGTCGCTTTCTTATCGGAGCGCACCTCTGCGCCCGCGGGCCCGCTTCCCAGTGGTCGAAATGCGCAACACACCTTAGCCATACAGACCTCTATACTACGGAGGCAAGGCGGTGGCTTCACGAAGCGACCACCGGTATGCTCTTATACCATTATTACAAGCATAAGACTCATTGGTCACAAAACATCTCTCTATTTTAAATGTAGATAGAAGCTGTGTGCGTACTATTAAACGGAACGCCGCAGGGCATCTTTATAAATTCACTTTTTCCCGTGCTATTTCAGCCTTAAGCGACTAAAATGTGCCATTATTATATAATGTTGAAAAATGTGCTACTATACGATACCGTTTTTTTAACTAAAAATATAATATAAAAATACCTATACTAGTAATACTCAAAACAGTGATCTTGCGGTATTCGAGCTTGCATTATCTGGCTAGTAAGGAATGGTTGTGTCATTCCAGTAGAAAGCGTATATGACTGTAGAAAATATATTGTATCTGACGAAAGAACAATATATGGACAATTTCATTTCAAATACTTGCATTAAAAAGTACTGCTATCTTAAAAACGCTGGTAAAAGAACATTATATTGTGGGAAAAGTCTTCCCATAGACAAAACTGAAAAACATGGCACTCTTCGTCCTGCAAAATTTTAAACTAAATCGCAAGAAATAGAAGAACACTTACTCTATGCCCTTCGGCAGCCCAATTTTCAGTTTGGCAAAACAGACCAATATGGGAAGCTTAAAAATTAACTTTTTTGTCTTTATTATATTGTTTGAGAATCTGGGCTTTTAATATATATATAGATAACGGGCATGGTGGCGGGAGGCCGAAGGCGTGTGTATATAACTGAGGAGAAGATTATATATATATATATATTTAACTATTTTAAAACATTCTTGTTACTATTTTAAGTTCATTAAACATGTAAGCGCGTTCGATGCTCTGTCGTGAAGGACGAAAATAATATTGCGGCCGACTCCGAGCCGAGGTAAAACGGTTCCATTTCATTTCTCGTGCGCTGCTACGTGCACCATCCCGTGACGTCAATCACATCGAGCGCATCTGCTCTTTTTAAGCGGCAGCGCTTTTTTTTGCTTCTTTTTTTGACGGGGAACATTTGCAAATTATGTTGGTGATTTGATTAAAGTAATAAAAACAGACATAAGAGAGCTTAAGAGCTGTATCAGAACTCATGCATATTATTACCCTTCCAGATCTCTCCTCGGAGCGCTAATTTTAGTGTCAGTCATCAGCACCATCATTGACGTCCGCGTGACACAAAGTGAAAAACTGCAGAGCATGCCAGCACGGAGAAGTAAGTGAACATTACACATTTGTTTCTAAACCTGAGCAAGGGTTTTTTTGCAAGTGGTCTCTCACAAACGGAGAAAGCATCACAGCAAAGATGTCGCATCTTAAAAAGCATTTATTTTAAGAAGAAGAATATGTTTTGAGAACTTCCTCTTTTGTGTTGAATATTCTACATCTGACCTTTTTTTTTTCCAAGTAAAACGCATATACCTAGATTTCCCCATAAACATGACGGTAAGCCCTGTTCGTAATATTCTTAAGTAATAATCTCAAAATTGGAAAATGCATTCACAAGTATTGATTGCAAAAAATACAATTTTGATTCCGGTATTTTTATTTAATGAATAACAAGTACCTGGCTATTATATTTGTTAAAGGAAACAAAGACTGCACAATGTGTTTGCCTCTTTTGATGAGAGGAGTATATAGGCGAACGAACGAGTAGAAATAAAACTCATGACTCCGAAAAAAAGAAAACAAACAGAGGCAGCTGCATATCCTTCTTCATTTCGTCTCATATAACTATAAGACTAAAAGAATTGCCGTTTGAACGTTACCAAGCCTAGCTTTATTTTCCTTTCTGGGGAGCTGTTAGACTCAGCAGTAATAGAAAAGATGAGCTAATAATGCAAATATCAATTTTATGTGTAATATACGTTTCTACCGAAAGCCTTAGAGCAGTAGCTCGTATATAGAAATCTACTGGACATCTCAAAGATATGCGCTTAATTATACGTAACGCCTGTAAAGGCAGCTTGTCTTTCACTTTGCTAAATATTTGCACATACTGCGACCTCATGTGCGGTCATTGGGGGAGTGGGGCTGCAACAGCTCACAATTGGTGAGAAAAATAACAACACTAAACCCGAAGCACCCTATGATACAACCCTTCATGCCAGCCACACATTAAGACAAAGGAGATGCATAATTGCCGAAGTAAAACTGCCAGAATAAGCTATCTCGTAGCACACTCGACCTTCCACTACCTTATCTCTTTTGTTTTTATGCAATGGAATACAGTAACCGTGGTGCATCCGCATTTAGGTTAAACAAATTCAGAAAACCGTAAAGCTTATGGTCACTCTGGAACTGTATACCATTCAAATGAACATATGAAGCATAACACCCCTTTTTTTCCTATTACAGGCAAACTGATGAAGTGCATCACAGCATTCTCGATTCCTGCTAGTACCCGCCTCCTCCTTGCTGTCTCCCACGACAAAACGGACGAAGCTTATTCCTACCGCTTTCTGCACGGTCTGCGGTTCTTCAGCCTATTCTGGATCGTGCTTGGCCACACTTCCATCGCTTTTGACCCCATCGTGTGTAAGTTGAATTCAGTTTTTCTCCTGAAAGTAAAAGTTCGAAAATTTATTTAACTATGGTAATCGAAGTAAAAATACATGAAACCATCCAAATCTATGTTCTAGCCTGGCAGCTCTGCCGCAAATATAGTTGACAGAGTCGCGTTGCTTTTACAGTATTACAATTCATTATCAACCAGTTCGTAATAACCTAATGCTTTATTATTTCATGTTTTGTTTGCTTCTTTGTAAGTTTTATTCGTTGGATTTTCTGAAAATAAAAGACAAGGACTTATCAAGCTGCATATGTAGACTTCTTTTATCTACTTTCCTGGTGTACTTTCCTAAAGAACACTCGGTATTGTTATTATATCTGTAGTAGCGTAGCCAGTGTCGCTAGGGTAGGAGACGACGCCAAACCGGAGGACGGTGCAGTGAGCGCTCACGACGTTCATGTGCGATCCTGGAACCTATACGTAGTAAATGCTTGTGTATGTACTCTGTTACAAGCTGGCGGCGAGGTGTCCTGGCAGACAACTAAAAAACGACTGAGTGCAATGGCCAACTCGGGTGATGCATTGCAGAGAGCGTCTTCAAACGTCTTATTTTTTTATGGGTCCAGGGCCACTAGATCTGCCAAAAAAGGACTGGAACGTGTACCAGATAAGGTTTCAAGCACCTCTGGACATTGCCAGAACGACAGATGATGCTACTAAAACAAATTTCTTGATCTCATCGCTGGGGTCGGAAAGGCTCAAGCTGCTGCACTTTCTGGTTCAGCCAAGACAGGTCGCTGAATTCCGTTATGCGGAATTGGCGAAAACACTTAAATTTCATTTTGCGCCGCAGTGCTTCAAGGAATTTGAGCTAGCCAAGCTGCTTTCAGCGCGCCAGGATGAACGTCAGTCACCCACCGGCTTCCTAGCATGACTACGGTCAGTCATTAGCGACTACAAATTTGAGAACGAAGCCGATGCACGCACGTGTTCGTTGCTCACTGCTTTCATAATTGTACTAGGAGGTCAACGCTTGAGAGCACATCTCGTCCAAGACGAAGAGCTATCGATTGAAATTGCTCCAAGATTGTCGAAAAGCGTTCTTTGAGCGGAAAAAGAGTCTCGCCAATTGCCAAACGCTGATGATACCCATCTCGCAGTCAGTAAAGTAACAGAAGTACAAAGACTGTATAAAATGAGGTAACTCTAATCATGTCACAGACAAGTTCCGCTTGGAGTCTGAAGACTGCGGAGTTGACCGAACAAAGAGCACATTACCAATATTTGCAGAAACCAAGGCCAGACTGGCAAGCATTGACCAACAAAGAAAGGGTAGGCACAATTAGTCACAAGCGTCCTGTGCACATTACACCAAGGCGGCAAGCTTTCTGGAATATCAAATTGAAGGCAAGCGAGTGGAACTTCCAGTAGAAACAAGTTCAAAAATCACCTTACCAGACATTTAATCTTAACATTGTCTCGGGAAACCAGAGCTCGCTGAAGCTCATCACAGACTGAAATATGTCAACAAGGAGCCGATCAAGATCAAGGGCCAGCGTACATTTCAAGTGCAATTCCAAGGAAACGAGTAGTCTTGAGGCAATCGTTTCCAATACGAGTCACATATACTTGCAGGGGAGATTCTGGGTCAGATCGCTCAAACTGGACCTGAACAACATATTCGTCGCGCCTATGAACACGAAAAAGGGCCTCAAGGTATCGCCAACTAAGTGTGCAAAACTATTGGGAAGTGAGCTTGGCCTGTGCACGAAAATCAACGTTACACTTCAGCTCAAGGAGAACGCCCTCCCCAAGTTTGTGCGGCCACAATCACTACCGTTTGCATTACGCGAAGTGGTAGAGTCTGACTTGAAGAGGCTAGCTAAAAATGAATTTTTCACTTAAGTGGAAACAGCGCAGTGGGTCATCCGTTCGTTGTTGTCCCGGAGAAAACTGGATCCGTGAGGGTATGTGGAAATTTCAGCGTGACTTTATGTCCCTAGTTGTATGTCGCACACTTCCCGCTTCCACCAACTGAGGAACTTTTGTTGAAGCTCAAGAAAAGACAGAAGTTCTCGAAATAATAATAATAATAATAGTGTTTATTTCCACCATAAGATGATGGGGGCGATCAGGAAAAAAAGCTGCGAGGTACAGCTTGACGGGTTCCTGACCACCTACAGCAGCAGTGACAGAGTGGGGAAATAATACAGCAATCAAAAGAGGAACACAAATGTACAGAAAATGATCGCCATCACAACATGTTAAGCACAACACCTTAGGTGATCACAATGTTGACATATAGGGCATGACGGGCAAACAAAAACAAAAACAAGCTCATAGTATTAAGAACAAAACACGGAGTAAAGAGAGCAACTACATCAGTGAAAAAAGGGTGACCTCACTTCCCTCAACGATAATTTGTCCCAATCAATACCTTTAGCTAGAAACAGATTAAATAATTTGGGAACAGCATATTTCAGCGTTTGTGTGCCATAGTTTGTTCTCGGTGTGACCACCCCCCAACATTCAGCTCCGCGGGTAGAGTAACTATGAATGTGTTTCGAGATTTGTGCAAGATTTATAAAGAGAATTCGTATTTCTAGTTCGCTCCACTTTTAGGCTAGTGGCAAGCCTGTAATCATATAATGTGTGAACATTTATGACTTGAAATTTTTTGAATAAGCTAGCTGTATGAAAGTCAAACGGGACATCTCCTATAGCTCTAAGTGCTTTCTTTTGCAACACAGGCAGCTTTTCTAGATTAGTAGAAGTCGTTGTACCCCAAACTAAGTGGCAGTAATTTAAGTGGGAGTGGAATAAAAAATTATACAATAATAATTTTACGTTTTCTGGCAAAATATAACGATGACGATTTAACGTGCCCACAGCCCGGGATAGCTTTGGAATAAGGTTGTTTATATGATTTTCCCACGACATATTCTCATAGAAAGTAACACATAAGAGCTTAAAGGAGTTTACCATTTCAATGTTGCTAGATTTTAAATTTAGGTCCTTTGTAATGTTTACAAGTTTATTTTTTGGGCGAAAACGCACAGCTTTTGTTTTCTTCATATTTATTTGCAACGCGTTGTTTTCACTCCATATTTCTAATCTAGACAAAGTCAGGTTTGCCATATCAATTAAGGTATCAGCATTATTTTGAATTAAATAGTATACTTGTGGTCGTCAGCGTAGTTGACAAATTTTGCATTTGGATTAATATTGGTAATATCATTAACATATATATTAAAAAAGAAAGAACCCAAAATACTGCCCTGTGGTACTCCAGAAAGAATAGGCTTTATCGTGGAGGAGTTTTCATTAATACTAACATATTGCATCCGATGCCCCAGATACGACCGTATTAACTCTAAAGCGTACCCTCGAATTCCATAATTATCTAATTTAGAAAGTATAATTTGATGAATGCGACAGTCAAAAGCTTTAGTAAAATCTATGAATATTCCAAGGGCCATCATTTTGTTTTCAAAGCTTTGCAAAATGAATTCTTTTTGAACAAGTAGAGCGGATTCCGTCGATTTGTGCTTTCTAAAACCGTACTGAGACGCTATTATCAAGTCGTACATATTAGAAAAATTAGTTAATCGGGTATGAATGACTTTTTCGAGTGCCTTGGAAAACACTGGCAATATTGAGATAGGTCTGTAATTTCTTATTTCATTTACGCTTCCTTTTATATGCAATATTGAAACCTTAGCAATCCGCATTCGCTTAGGAAATACTTCTGTGGATTTAGAAATATTAAATATGTGAGTTATTACAGGTGCTAACAAATGAATCACGTGCTTTACAGGCCTTATTTGAATACCATCTACGTCACAGCTTCCACTATTTTTAAGCTGCAAAAATACACTCAACTCTTCGGGTTCTACCACAGGGTCTAAAAATATCGTGTCACTGTTTCTTTTATCGCTAAACATAGCAGCATTATTTATTGCAGACGTACTCGCAAGATTTACAAAATGTTCATTGAAAGCATTTGCCAATGAGCAACCAGTACGTTCAGTGCCGTTATGCATAATTTTTTCAATAGAACTGGATGGGCGATCACGATGAGAAAGAGAGTTTAGCTGCTTCCACATGACGTCTGCACGACCCTGTGCGGCTTTAAACATGTCGAAATGATAACCCTCTCTCGCACGCCGTAGTTATTTCGTTAAGCTGTTGCGATAGTTTTTGAATATTGATAGATCATTCTTGTCTCTTGATTTTGCGAATTTGCCATACAAGACGTTTTTTGTGTTAGTTTTACAAAGTAGCTCTGGAGTTATCCAAGGTTTTCTTATGCGTTTATTTGTTTTTATAGCTTTGAAGGGAAAGTATGCCTTATACAAACTTAGAAATAATTCAATAAAAGTGTTGTAAGCACCATCGGCACTAAGTTCGCAAAGTATACTATTCCAATTTGTCTTTGACACAGCGATTTCAAAGGCGTCTAGTCGATCTAAAGTTATTTTTTGAATCAGTGTCCGCTTCGTTCTGCAGACCTTTTTCGGGACGTTTTTAAGAGAAATGACTATAGGGAGGTGGTCACTCAGATCACAACCAATGAAACCGGCCTTTATATATCCAACAGGGCTATTAGAAATGAACAAATCTAACTTTTACCATACAGATGCTCTTTTTGTCCGTTTTAATGTTGTCAGAATAACACACCTACATTACTACCGCCTTCTTGTATCTTATAAAATAGCACAAAAAAATCAGCATAGTTGTTTTCTGCAAATAGCAAATTTAAATAAAAATATTAGTGTTTATAAATCACGGCGAAGTGAAGAGTGGAGTGTACCCACCCCCCGAACAAATTATGGACTGACATCGCTCACATACATACTTCCATCTTTCTTGAATAAGCTGAATGTTGAAACAGATCTTAGCCATAGCTTACCATTTGAAGCTTTAATGTTGATACTGTCGAAGTTGTGAATTTCAGGCTTCGTGTTGTATGTGTACCGTGTCAATTGATATCATATGTTACATTAGAATCTTGTTAATGTCTTTA